AACTTAAAACAATAAAAGTTTATCATAAAGAAAACCCTATGCCTAAACACAACGGAAGAAATTGCATCAATCTTGCAAAAATTCCCGCAGAAAACATAAAAGGGGAACACTTCCCAACTTTTTTGTGTGTGTCTGGAATAAACTTGATTCTGAAATCTCATGAGGATATTAAAGAAAACAATATAGACCAAGCTGTCATAATCACAGATGCAAAAATATTTAACAAAATATTAGCAAATCAAATCCAGTGATATATAAAAGGATATTACATCATGAGCAAATGAGGTTTGTTCCAGGAATGAAATGTATTTTTAACATTCAATGCATTTTACCACACTAATGAAGAAAAACAAAAATTATACAGTCCTCTTGGTAAATAAAAAAGTAAAGAACATTTGACAATACGCAAGACCCATTTATGATGAAACCTGTAGAAAACTGAAACCAGAGGGCAACTTCCTGAGTCTGTTGAGGGATATCTCTTCACGTCCCCCCCCCACCCCGCCAAACAAATCAACAAACACCATACTCAATATCAAAATGTTTAAATGATCCCCCTAACATTAGGGTTAAAACAAAGATGTCTGCTGTTACAACCTCTATTTGAAATTTTACTGGAGGTCCTAGCTATTGAAATAAGGTGAGAAAAAGAAGTAAAAGACATACGAATTAGAAAAGACTGAAACTGTTATTACTTGCAAATCATATACTTGCTTTGGGTTTTCTAGGTACACAATCCACATAAATTTAGAATTCATGGATTTAGCAATGTTGTTATGTATATGTCAATAAATAAAAGCCTATTGTACTTCTATATACCTGCAATAAGTAAGAAATAGAAGACATCATACCATTTACATTAAAATACGACAAAGACCTTAGAATGAATCTAACAAAATGAACAAGTCCACTACACTGAAAAACACAAGATTCCTGTAAGAAATTAAAGAAGCCCTAAATAAGAAAGAATATAACATTCATGGACTAGAAGGCTCAATATTGTAAATATATAAAAATTTCTCCAAATGTGTTTAATGCAGTACTGATTAAAAATTACAGAAAATTTTGTGGAAATTGACAAGCTGATTCTAAAACTGCATTCTGAAAATGCAAAGGGCCCAAAATCACCAAGGTAAATTTACAGAAGAATAATAAAGCTGGAGGACTTTTGCTGCCATTTTTAAAGATCTGTTATAGAGCTACAGTGTTTAAGACAGTGAGATACCAACACAAGTCAGTGGAACAGAACAGAGTCCAGTAATAGGCTCATACATATGTGGTGACTTGATTTTATGACAATCTACTGCAATGCAATGATGCTGCCCCAAATCAATTCCAGATAGTTGGAGACTCTGCAATGTAAAATAAAAATTTTAGAGGGAACGGAGAATACCTTCTTGACCTTGGAAGACACAAAGATATTTTCAACAGGACACAGGAAACATTAACCATAAAACTAAAATATTGCAAGTTGTAATATATTAAAATTAAGAACAGTTTTCATCAAATAACATTAAGGGAGTGAAAAATCAACTCAAAGAATGAGAGAAGATATTTTATATATATATATATATATATATATATATATATATATATATATATATATATATACACACATACATATACAGCTGGGATTTTATATCCTATTATATGAAAAAAACTTCTAAAAATCAGTAAAAAATACATCTCAAGAAAAAAGGGCCAAAAATGCGATTAATGCCACTAAAGAAGATATTCTACAGGTCAGTAAACACGGGAAAAGTTGTTCAAAGAGACTGCCATCCTGGAGATGGCTACACTAAGAAAGAAAGAAAATGCCAAGTACTGACGTGGATGAAAAACAATGGGAACTCCTCTGTACTTTCTATAAGAATGTGAATTAGTACAATTACTTTAAAAAACTTTATTGAGGTATGATCAACAGGTAAAAAGCTGCACATGTTTAATGTATACAACTCTACGAGTTTGAGGATAAGTATACATCTGTGAAACCATCACCATCATCAAAGTCATAGACATATCCGTCACCTACCAAGTTTCCTCCTGCATTATTATTATTATTTTTTTATTTTTTTAACGTTTATTTATTTTTGAGACAGAGAGAGATAGAGCATGAACAGGGGAGGAGCAGAGAGAGAGGGAGACACAGAATCTGAAAAAGGCTCCAGGCTCTGAGCTGTCAGCACAGAGCCCGACGCGGGGCTCGAACTCACAGACCCTGAGATCTTGACCTGAGCCGAAGTCGGACACTTAACTGACCGAGCCACCCAGGTGCCCCATTATTATTATTATTACACTCAAGATCTACCATCTTAGCAAGTTTTAAATATACACCACAGTATTGTTAGCTATAGGCAGTATGCTGTATACATTTCCAAGGTTATATTTATCAGTAATATTTAACAATGTTAATTCTTGATAATTAATCTTGCATGACTGTAACTTTGTACCGCTTGACCATCGCCTCCCCGTTTCCCCCTCCCCAAGCCCCTGGCAACCACAATTTTACTCTCTGCATCTATGATTTTTTTTTACTATTTTCAATTCCAGATATAAGTAAGAGAATATTTGTCTTTCTCTGTCTTATTTCACTTAGCATAATTTCCTCCAGGTTTATCCATGTTGTCACAAATGGCAGGATTTCCTTCTTTTTAAAGGATGAATGATATTCCATTGTATATATATGCCACACTGAACATCCCTCCATTCTGTTTTCCACAGTGACTGCACACTGGAAATTTACATTTCCACCAGCAGTGCACAAAGATTCCCTCTTCTCCACATCTTCACTAACACTTATTATCTTTTCTTCTCTTAATAATAGCCATTCTAACAGATGTGAGGTAATATCTCATTGGGTTCTGATTTGCATTTCCCTGATGATTAGTGGTGTTGAGCATCCTTTCATGTACCTGTTGATCATTTATATGCCTTCTTTGAGAAATGTCTATTCAGGTCCTTTGTCGATTTTTAAATCAAATATATATATTTGAGCTATTGAATTATAGGACTTTTTTTTTTTTTTTGGATATTGACCCTGTATTATAATATGGTTTACAAATATTTTTTTCCCAATCCATAGTTTTCCTTTTCATTTTGTTGATTGTTTCTTTGCCATGAAGAAGCTTTTGAGTTTAAATTAGTCCCACTTTTTTATTTTGCTTTTGTTGCTTGTGCTTTTGGTGTTATAGCCGAGAAATCATTGCCATGACCAATACCGAAGAGGTTTTTCTGTTTTCTTCCAGGGTTTTGTGGTTTTAGGTCTTATGTTTCTTTAATCCATTTTGAGTTGATTTTAATTCTTTTGCATATGGATATCCTGTTTTCCCAGCACCATTTATCCAAGAAACTATCCTTCTCCCCTTATGTACTCTTGGTTCCCTTGTTGAAGATTGTATATGTATGGGTTTATTTCTGGGCTCTCTATTCTGTTCCATTGATCTATGTTCTGTTTTTATCAGCACCATAGTGTTTGATTACTACGGCTTTATAATATAATTTGAAGTAAGGAAGTGTGATGTCTCCAACTTTACTCTTTTTGCTCAAGATTGCTTTGGCTATTCGAAGTCTTTTGTGCTTCTACATGAATTGTAGGATTTTTTTTTTCTATTTTTTGTGAAAAATGCCACTGGAACATTGTTAGGGACTCCATCCAATGTGTAGATCACTTTGGGTGGTATGGACATTTTAACAATATTAATTCTTCTAATCCAGGAACATGGGATGTCCTTCCAGTTATTTTTTGTGTCTTCTTCAATTTCTTTCATCAAGTGTAGCTTATGCACCTCCTTAGTTAAATTTGTTCCTAAATTTGTATTGTTTTTAATGCTATTGTGAATGGGATTTTTTTTCTTAATTTGTTTTTCAGTTTGTGGTTAGCGTACAGAAACATCAAGTTTTGTATGTAGATTTTGTATACTGCAACTTTACTAAATCCATTTATTCTGAGTTTTTTGGTGGAGTCTTTTGGGTTTTCCATATATAATATTCCACCTTCTTTAATAGTTGTGTTCATTTGCATTCTTCTCCATTAAGAGAAAAGTAAGTTACACCGACGGTCTAAGAAGCAGCAATACTCTTTCCACGCGAATCCTCAGTCAGCAGCAGCCTGCGGCTGCGCACTCAGGGAGAATGGAACTCCCACAAATCACTGGGCACCCTTAGGGGCGGGCCCAGGTTGCCTGCCGGGATCAATCCATCCGCCCAATCCTAGGCTTCTGAGGCATTTCCTCTTTGGGACTGCATTTCCCAGCGGCCACTACGCCGAGTTAGCGGCCACTTCCGGCATGCAGGGGTCGTTGTCCTGGTAGGGTGAGGCCTTAAGGTGGAGGAAGAAACCGGTGGCTGCCTGTGCTCATCAGGACCCCAGCCCGAGGGACTGCCAGTGTGGGTGGGCAGAGAGAGGACCTCAGGACAGGGCGCTGACAGGCACGCGAAGGAGCCTCGGCGGCCCGTGTGCGAGCGTGCAGCGAGGAGGGGAGATTGTGCGAGCGCGAGTGGCGGACGAGGAATGTGGGAGTCTGTGCTTGGGGGCGCGCCTTGTGCTGCGCTGAGGGGAGAGGGGGCGTGTGGACACTGAGCAGTGCTTTGCTGTGCAGGTGTGTGTGTCAGTGGGACCATTGGCCCGCTGCTTCCTTCGTCTTCTCTCCCAGCCACGTGGCTGCAGCAGAGCAGTGGCTCCTGTAGGGAGGTCAGATACTGAGCCTAGAATGGAAGTTTCCTCAGGAGAGTCCAGACCTGGACCTGGGATGGGAATATTAGAGCTGGAAGTGCCTCTCTGGGGCCCCCACGAGGGCAGCTACTTGCTGAGACCCACCGCATTCTCCGAGTTCTGTCCCCAGGAACCAGCTTCGAACTCGGAGACTGATTCCTCCTTTTACTTCCGCCCCTTCTTGTGCGAAGTAAGGGAGGTGTGGCCCTGGAGTGTGCTCTCAGATTTAGTCTGCGCTCCCAAGAAAAGCCTGGGGTCTCATACTTTCCATCTCCTTCTCCTTCCCCAGAGTCGTTACCATTATCCCAAAGAAGGACCCCCAGGAGGATGAGAGTATTATTGCTGTACATCTAAAGTCAAGGGTGAGTTCGTGATTTGTTTTGCTTAAGAAAAAAAAAAGGTTTTGTTTGTGTTTTTTGTTTTTTGGTTTTTTTTTTGGTTTTAGAATATATAGGTTCCAGTAAACTTTCAGGAAATGTAGGGGAGACGTGCAAATTGATACCCCGCCATTTGGTCCCCCATTGCCCTCATTTCTTCACTTAATACTCACTTAGCCATTGGGTAAATTTTTCACATCTGCTTGGGCGCTCTGTTTTTCTAAGACGACACGGAAATAAGCCTCCAGCGATTGATGTTAAAGCTCTATTTTCGGGACTCCGATTTGGTAAGAAAGAGATTAGTGTTTAAGTGGAACCACACACCTTATATCTTTTGCTCTTTAAGGGCCTGCTTTTCAAAGCAAGGGCAGAACAGAGATCGTTAGCTTATTTCATTCGGTATGTGAGGCTTTCAGAAATGGGAGAAGTGATAGCAACAGGAGGTGGTATCAGTAAGAGCCAGGATTTTTCTAGCAAGTTCCATCAGTTGAAATTTGCATTGCTGGCCACATCTTGTGGAAGTTTGGCAGCTTGAGTTGTGTTTGGGGCTTCTTTTTGTGTGGACCTTGGGAAGCAGTGTGGTGTCGTTGAAACTAAGGGCTGTTGGGGCGCCTGGGTGGCTCAGTCGGTTAAGCGTCCGACTTCAGCTCAGGTCACGATGTC